TTTATTGTAAATTATGTAATCTGAGATAAAATCAAATAAGTCTCAACAATAGAAATAAAATTCGAAAGAGATTGAATTTATTAAATTGGTTGTATAAACTTACCTACGAGATTGGTGAAGCAAGTTCTAATCTAGTCGTCGAGACAAAGCAAGCGTGGCGGGGGGTAACGATACACGAGCCAAATGCAAAGCTTTATTTAGTTTAAGGCGCCATTACACGGCTCATATAAACTGTCAAAGTTCGAGGACGCCGAGGGTCGTCGGATCCACCGCTTTCCTATCCTCTTTTTAACTTTACGCAACCGATCGGGATTTTTACCCGTTTTATGTTACTACTCGTACTTACGCGCGATCAATTTAATGGATATAGTCTTGAAATTTTTCCATTTCATTTTAAAAATTGTTGTTGTTTATTAAAGTTTGCTACATTAATATTATTGTTTGTGTTTAGAAGTATACAATCATGCAGGTTGATGACCATTTAAATCCAAATAAGAACTAGTCACCATAAGGAAACATACCTATTTCGTTTGGATTGTATGTTTTTAAAACATCTCAATTAAGGGCTGATTTTATAATAAAATTATAGAATAAAAAATAAAATTGTTGCTGTCACTGTCTTATACTAACATTCTGACGCGACAGCATCATAATTGTTCCCCAGGTAACTTTTATCTAACCATTAATAACCCTCCTTTTGCTTTGCAAAAAAAAAATAATTACAACTCATTAGAAATTGTTGTCTTGTGTCTAATACATATAAAAAAAGACTACAGAAAAAACTTTTAACAATCAACGTAATAGAAGATCTACAGAGTCTGGTCTAACGACACAACAAAGAATCAACAACCTACGTTTGTGACGTAATTTCGAGCCGCAAAATAAAATGTCACCCGCTAAAAAATGGCGCTCAAGAAAAGAAAGATTAGTTATGGCGGGCACATAAACCGGTGTGGTGCAATTATTGCGTCTGTCGTACGGACGTCGCGTCGGCGTCGCACCGAAACCGTGCCGACTGCCTCTCTCATGTTTGTCTCACCTCCCGACACCTGACACACAATTTAAGTAATTTGTTACTCACTCGCCTTTATTGTAAAATATATCCTCTTATTTGTATGACATGCTTGTTCTATTTATCAAAATAAAGTCGTATAGTATTCTTATCCCCTTTCTAAAAAGAATTTATTCCCGGTATTTGAGTAAGTAGCAGTGCAAACGGATTCTCCCTTGATTTTTCTTTCGTTGTTTATTTCTCTCAATCCTCTAATCAAGTTTACAGCCTGTCTATGTATTCGACTGCGATCTAAAAAAACAACAAGTCTGAAGGAGTGTTTGAGATCTGATATATAGGAGAAATACGATACACAACGCGACCTTTCGGGTCATACAGGTATAATAGGAGCGAATAGATTACATTGAGGGATTTTGATCATGAGAGAAATTTAATATATAAAACATACCGTTGAGAAAGGGTTACAAATAAAAATAGAGGTAGATGAAATTGTTTGATAATAATAATAATTGGATATTTTTTAATACTTATTGGTACATTTTGTAAAAATTGTAATGTAATATTGTAACAGAAGTTGGTATTTATACTAATGTATCTATTTTTGATTTGTTTAAATATGTAATACTTACATTATGAGACAGGATATTCGTAGGTTTTGTATATCTTTACTCAGAGCTGATAAAATGAGCAAAGATAAATAAGTATTTATTTGCTAAAGCCCGTGTATGCTCGACATTATTAAATATCTCAGATAAAATTACAAAAAATATCTTATACTTTATTAAAATTAGTTATATATGTATTTAGTATTGTATTAGACTTGCGTTGTGTTTCGTGAGTGAGGTTACCGGAGGCGCAATCTTTCCCCTTCCCCAATCCCTCCCCAGTTCCTAAATCTCCAAATCCCAAATCCCTAAAATGTCGGCAACGCACTCGTAACTCCTCCGTTGCGGGTTTCCATGGGCGCCGTTGATTGCTTACCATCAGGTAATCCGTATGCTCGTTTGCCGACCTATTACATAAAAAAAAGATTAGGTTCTCCCACGCATATCGCTGGCTACCTCAGCAAATAGAACCATAAAAAATAACAAAATGAAATGTGCAATTTGATGCAGTAGGTCTGGAGATTAGCTCTTTTAAATAAACAAACAATCTCTTAAAATTTAAAATACTAGAGTGTACTTTTTGGAGTTGTACAAAGAGGCCATCTAGTACCGAAATGTTACAAGCATACAATTGTTATTAGTAAATGTATGACTAACACAGTTGAAGTATAGATCCGTTTAGCTAGTAATCTGATACATATGCTATATCTTATAACATACCCTATGATAGTGCCCGTAGGGTTGTTATTCCTAAATACGTAACTATAATAAACCTTTAATCCTTTCATCATTATCATCAGTCTATAAGTGCCCACTGCTGAGCAAAGGCCTCTTCTCACACGGAGAAGGTTTGAGCATTAATCACCACGCTTTCTCAATGAGGGTTGGCGATTTCAAACTTATAATTAGAAATTATAAGTCCAGGTTTCCTCACGATGTTTACCTTCACCGTTTGTCAGCGGTGTCTAAATAATCATAGAACCCTTTTTAACCCTTAAAAAAAAAACTAAAGCTAAAATATTGTATTCTAATAAACCTACAAGAATTTTATAATAATTGTAAGCTTGGCGAATGTCGTCGGGCGGGCACATAGGTACTGCTGCACTCGAGACTGTTGTAATAAAATATTACGTTTGGAGATTGTATAGCAATGAAATATAGCGGTCTACGTCACCTATAACTTCAGCCTGATAGAAAAATATTAAAAGGAATAGTTGGAACTATTCATTGCGTTCGGAAATATTTTAAGGCCAAACTATTCATGAAATTAAATAAATACCTTCACATACATATGGGACTTTTACCTTGTAATTAACGATTTGGGGCGCTAAACGAGCATAAAGACTGTCTGATGATAAGCCCTTCAACACCCGCAACACTAAAGGAGTCATTTATCCGTTTGCCAGCTTTTTGGGAGTAAGAGAATTAGTTGAATGCGAGGTAGATAAGTTCGGACCTCCGGTACCTCACCCATTCGGTAAAATACACCGTAGCGTTATAATAATATCATGCTGATTATCTATGAGGCCGTGGTATTACTCCGGTCTATCTAGCCTTTTCGTGCCGAAGCCTGGCTCTTCCACTCCACTCAGGCAGTGGAATGTGATGATTTAATTGGCTTTATAATTACTAATGTGTAATCGGCAATAGAGCTAAATGAAACCTTAACAAAGAAATATAGGGACATATCACGTGTATTTATTTTGTTAATTGTTACTTAAAAAAGTATGTCGACGTAAAATACTTATGATGATAAATAAAAAAAAAATTCGTTCAGCTGATCAAATGAAAGCCAACCCTAGCTAAACTCAGTATTTATTAGTTATAAATAAACTGCTCAATTTCGAACTCGTTGTAAAGTCATAGTATCACACAATTGAGACGAGCTCCTTGCCAAACTGCGAACAATTAATACGGGCTGAAGGCACTCTGTGTACAGCAATAGATTGTGACTAACACCTCCTCCAGCTCTACACAGGTAGTTAACCTTTGGCTGAAAACAATCAACTGAGCCGTTTAAGGGTTGCGACGTCGCCTAAATAGTTTGTCACAGCTACACTACAGGGGTGAATAACAATAAGATCCCTTTGTTCCGGCATTCAATCTGGCCGAGACATAAGCAAGACGTTGTGGGGAAACCTTCTCTCTGCCTCCCAGATACAACTTAGCTGTGAACAACTTTTTCTATTTACTGTCTTATTTAATACTAAAGGTAATTCTGAGCAAAGCTTTAAAACAAGTTTTATGAAAGTCGCGCTCGAGATTAAGAAGTCGCAATGTAAAGTTAACATTTCATTTTCTGATCTTACTTTCTTTGCTCTTGCAATTACGAGGGATTGTTAACAGATACTTGGTTTTCCTGAACAAATACTCATAAAGGTTCATTTTAATGTTAAAAGGAGAACAATAATTTGCAAAACCATATGTCCAATGTCATAACAAATAAGTCAGATTAAAATCAATTACCTTTATATAATTCAGATGACTCCCACACAACCTCTCTCGACCGCAGCCCTATAACAAATCGGAACGTATTTATTAAAAACGATAACATCTGAATAAAGAGCATAAAATATGAGGAACAGGTAATAAACCGCAGCTGGAATAATAGCACTAGCAATAATTAACAGTCGTCGAGTGAAAGCCGCAAGCATCAATTTTGAAATGATTGGCATCGGCCGAGAGTGATCCAAATGGGTGGCTTAAACACTCATTTGATATTCACATTTGGTCCGAAACGCTACGCAAATTGCTACTAATTTGTACACATTCAACCCGCCGTGTCCTAAAGACAAGCTCTGTATAATTTACCCTTCATTTATTGTACTCTTCCCTTGTTTATTTAGTTTTCCGTTACTCATTAGGGTAATCAAAACAAATTGATTGATTCCGCAAATTATCCGATTCGCTTGTAATTAAGCTAATCAAGTATGTATATTATTGTATGATTTATCGGATTCATCGCATTGTCGACGTATGTATTCAATCACTGAATTAAATCAATTCATTCTAGTTCAATAGGATGTATAAGTACATAAGATAAATTAGTACACACACCAATAGTGTGCGCAACGCGGTTGTTTAATCAAAAACTTTTAATTGGAACAAAAGTACAATGAGATCATTTTTATTTTTCTCTTTAAGAAATGAAGGAAACAATATTGTACAGTATTCAGCACCATTAAAGGAACATGAAGTGGGACGAGCGCTCTATGGTCAATATATTTAAATTTAAACAAAAGTCGATTTGTACCTGCGGCTTTTGTGGACTTCGCCACAATTAATTGGCAGAATTGTATCCTTTAAATAGTTTATCGCTGCATATTTTTTGGTATTTTTGGAGTGCCGATAGTCATGTTTATGGCAATCTAAAAGCAATAGAGATGCTTAGGTAAGATCACGCATCAGTCACTGCATCCAAGTCGTTTTCAACCGACCGATCTAGGGACAAATAGAAGAAGGTCTGCGAAGAAAATATAAGATAAGATAATTTTATTTGCAATTAATGATATTATAATACTTTGAGTGATATAATAACTTATAAACAATATGGCAGCAATGGCGTTAATTTGGGCACAAAAGCATCACCACTAATTATATATTATTTATGGATTATTTGGTATCGATATACACGCTTATAATGTATAATAGATATATGTTAAGAAATTGGTCGCATAGTGAGGCCCACTAGTGTTTTGTTCCTTTTTAACAACTCACCCGTTGCGCGTCGCCATTTCTCTGCATTGTTTTCCCATTTATGTACAATACTGGATTGAATAATGTATCAGTGAGTTCGTAAAATATATATTTTTAAAAAGAGTTACAATAGTAGTTTCTTTCTCATTCTTCCACATGCGAATTTACAGTTTAGAACACAAACACCTAGAATCCCTGATTGACTGACGGACTATTTGACGCTTCATAAATGTTTTAGCGATTGAGTCACTTTTACTTTGTAACATAACTAAAAAATCGATAATAACACACAATTAGAAACGTGTTGAATATTTTAACCTTTAAAAGAGTCCCAAGAAAGATTTTTAATGGCATAAGCCCCAAATGAGCATTCTGCGTTAGTACCATCTGATGCAGAGTGATATGTAGCGCCCATTGATATCTGCAACACTAGATAAGACACGGCCTTTTAAGACGTAGAATGTTCGTTTCTATGAACGTAGTATCCGTTCGGGAATATCGCCTCCGAGTAAGCATTCCAGTTTTTTGGTGTGCGAGACAGAAAAGTTTCTCAAAAATAGCACAGTTGTTGCCTGAATATCTACGATTAACTCAAAAAAATGGCGTCTTCAAAATGAGTTGAAAATATCGTATCAATCTTTATAGATAGAGGCTTTTTGTACCACACCTGTGACAGAACAGGTTGGCAGCCAACTCTTGAGAGTGACCCAGTTGTGAGTTTCGCCAGGACTGTTGGCTCTGTGTCCGCATAAATTGTACATAATTCTGCTCCGGTGTCATCAAGATGTTTAACATTGTATGTTGTCAATTCTAGTGTTACTACTGAATTTATTGCTGTGCTAGTCTGCTGAAAGTACTTGATATAAATGTTAAGGCTTGATGTAGCCATGCTACGAATAAATATTTTTTTATAAATCTATTTTCTCTCTGTAGTATAAATAGCATTAAATTATCCCTGTTGTAGGTATCGTTGGACGGAGAGCAAGGGTGTTCTGGCCGCGCGGCCAGAATCAGCCCTCAACGTAGGGTACGTAGCGTTGCGCACGCGCCTCAAACAGCCATTACACCACCACATTTGGGGCTTATTAGGGCCGATGGTCAGCCGTGGTTTCAGGTTAAAATGCAATAATTTAAGGAACAGATTGGTAGTTTCAGTCAGTAAGTCTGATATTGCATCTTACCCTATCCAAGGCGAGAGAAGTATTTTAATGATTTTCCCCCCTCAAATATTTTCTTCTATCTTTAGCGACCCAAAAGATCTATGTCTAAGGAATCAAATCCTTCCTATTTTCCTACGCATTGACGCACTCTTCAGTTTCAATAGCGGCTTCTTCAAAGTGGATAGTGACCGTCAAACTAATAAATTTATTTGCACACAAGCTGAAAACGGATATAGACATTTTTTGATTTTTATAAGACGCACACGATATTTTTCTGTCGTCGTTGTTTGGGTTGTGATGTCAAAATAATGAGTTATTTGTTTTATTATTTGTTAGTAATATGTTATGAAATGTATCAAATAGAACAAAGATCCGAAAGAGAACGCGATACTTAGTTATGTTTCTGTCCTTCTCATTTTTGCATGACGTCATTGATGTGTCAATTGTTTCGAAGAAGAATACGATATTATTACATAGCTTTCTTTTTATTTCAGGCATGACGTCACTGATGTGTTATTGGTTTGTGAATTAGCAACGTCGCCAAATAATATTATGGTAGATTTGATTCATTTCGCATAATGAAAACGAAGCTATGGTAAAATAGAAGGGAGGGATTTTTTAAATTTACTTGATGTTATCTATCCACAAATAAAGTCCAAAATTAACTTAAGATCAGAAATTACAAGACCATGTTTTCGAAAGACTTTCCTTTTCCGTGTTATTTCAATAATCTTAGAAAGGCTTAATATATTTATATTCATAAACGAAACTTTTTTTTTAATATTCTAATTTATTTTCAAAAGCTTTTCACAGTATCATTCATATTTTAGCAAATTACATGTTAAATTTTATCCTTGAACAAAAATAGAATGCCTATTTAATATCTCCAAAGTTGGTATCCTTAAATATTGTAATTGTTATTTCGCAACTCGCCGTTAGATATTGTCTAAATTATCTCTCGGCAATCGTTAAGTATTTTCACGCAACGTCCCTAAACTTGTTAATTAAAACTCATTAAAAGCTTAATTTCAACATTTTTGGTAATTAAGAAGATTCACGATCTGCGAACCCTATGTACTTTAACAGAGCACTCTTACGAATTACTAAGGTACACCAAGAGTAACAAAACACTTTTTCGTAAATATTTTTTCTTTTAAAATCCATCCTCTAATTGTCTAGACACTTTATAAAATGTAATTTTATTTGTATTTAGTGATGACTCTAACATTATACATATACAGGATTCCGAATGTCAGAGAACTTTTATATATTATGTTAGTTTCTACGAACTTAGGTAGGTATACTGCGGACCAGAATGTATTCAATTTGTAGAGAATAGCACTCTAGTTAAATGGTGCACTTGTAATGACGCTATTCAGTAAATATTTGAATACAACGCGCTCCAAAGTATTAAGTGTAGCCACAGGAAATTAAAGTTTGCATTAGCCTCAAAAGTTAAGGACTGTGTTAGTATTGTTAAATGTTTGAAACTAGGTATGGTAAATCAAAACGATTTTGTGCAAAATCTTTTTTGTGACTTTATTAACTGATTAATATTTTTTCACACAAAACGCATTTTCTCGTATTCATAGTCTCCGTAAAATTTCGGGTTATAAAAAGGTTTCGTAGTGTGTAACTTCTGCCACTAAAATAACAGATTTAAACGAAAGATTCGAGGTTCAATGCAAGTCAGTCAACTTTCGCATATGGCTTAGCTACAATATTATCTTCGGAGAAGTTATATGCGTCTGGCTATAGGAAAGCCTACTTGCTCCCCAAAATTTAATTTGCAGAAGTCAAAGACTGAAACTTTATAATTGTCTCTATCCCCATTAGTTTAGGGTCGTTTTCTTTGAAACAAAGGATCGAATCTGTTTATTACCCGCATTTTAAACTAAAGCACATAACATAACAGTTTAACAGTTTATTATAGGTAGCTAATTAAAATTTTATCTCGCAAACAAAGAAATTGAAGCAATAAAATGAATATTTCCAATTGAAGAGGGCAAAAACCTTGTTAATAGTAGGATTTTAAGCAAGCATAAAACTCTCTCTAATGTCGTTCTGGCGTCGTCCGAGGTTAAGGCACCTGCTTCTCATGCATTAGGACGCGGATTCGAAATCTGGCAAATATCAGTGTGAGTTTTTCCGAGTTATACATATTTTTTATGATTATTTAGACACCACTGGCACACGGTGAAGGAAAACATCGTGAGGAAACCTAGACATATGATTTCCTTTTATAAGTTTGTAATCACCAATCCTCCGTTAGCAAGCGTGTTGATTAATGCTCAAACCTTCTCCGTTTGAGAAAATGAACTCAGTAGTGGACATTTATAGACTGATGATGTTGATGATGATGGTAGAATTATTACATTTCACTAAAGGATTTAGCAGGATTATATTATTATTAGCACACGATTGATACTTTGATCACAATTTGCAATCATGTCTAGAATTCATGTCACTGACAATTCCCGAGTTAACCTAGTGTATCTCTAATGGGTAGATCGACACCCATATCATTAATTCTACGAAATAGGGGCAAACTTAATCGAAAAAAACAACAGCCAATTTGAGAATTTCTCAATTAAAAATCTTATGTTTTATCAAATCATAGTAAAGTGGATAAGATTCAAGCAAATTTTAAAGATATCTAGAATTATTTTCTGAATCCTTGTTTCAACAAAGGGACTTATGATACCGTACCTGAACGACACTGAACGCAACATATTATGTCTGAAAATTAAAGTTTTGAATGTGTCTGAAATGTGGGAAGCCACTTAGTGTTTAATTAAACGTCGCGACGTCTGAACGTCTGACGTTCTGAAGGGCAGAGTGCGTCTCCACGATGTGCCACGACCCTACATCCACTTCCATGTAAACTTATTCGGTTTCACAACGGCATTGTATCGCCATTATTATTTAGAATTTAACTTTATTATGATTTTAATACAGTTGGATTTCCAATAATAATTTTATTTCGTCCTTAATTTTGTTTGTGTCCGTGATTTATATGATTTATTTCAATTTCAGTTGAGTAGTCTTATTGTTCTGTGTGTTTAATCAATATCCTGTAATTTTGAAGTAACTTTGTCATTTAACTCAATATGTAATATATTGAAAATACATCATGCACGAGATTTTTTCGAGAGATTCATACACCTGATCCGGTCTGATACAATGTTACCCATAATTGTTTTAGTGTACTCAATTGTTAGTAAGCTATGTAAATAAAATAATCATATCGCTTTACAATTATGGGGATTAAAGCCTCCTCCTAAACCAGGAGAATGAACGAGGGGGGACGGGTTAGTCAGTAAGAGACTGACACACCCTCTCGCGTCACCCTGGACGGGAGAAGTAATTTGATGATTTTCCCGTCACAAAAAAAGAGCGTCGACCATCTTTCGCTCGTAAATATGTGACTTGCTTAGACTAAATGAATAGCAATAAACTCATATTTAAAATACAAACTTTCGAATGCTGCCCAATGTTTCAAAGGATTCACTTCTGAAAAAAGCCTTTTAAAAATAGAATACATTTTTTTTTATTGTTAATAAATCCTTGCCAACTTCATGTCGTAAAGTTTTGTCAAGAGAACAGTGTTAAAAAACTGCCACAATCTAAAAACTTTATTCTTTATTTTATTGAATTTGAATTCGTTTATAGAACTCTATCCAGTTCCAAATTTGAAAATTATATCAACATTATAACGTTACGATTTAACAATATCGCTTCAAGATTGTCACAAGGCCGAAGTTCGGTATTGGAATAGGCTGCTCCCTAGCAGGTTTGCTCCTAATTACGTACATGTCACGGACACACCCGTGATTGATTGTAACTCTAATATCTTAGACAATGGATGACACGTGTGACATTGTGCCTGCGATATTTTGCCTTAGTCTCTCATTATTGGACGTTATAGCAAATACACCAATATCAGCTACTGTAGCCCCTTTGTTCTCTGGTATAGCTTTTGTTGGTATAAAGGACGAGTTGTTTTTTTCTAATATGCCTTGTCTATTTCTTAGCTATAGTTTATTTTATGGCTATAGTAGGTCATGCCTTGTCTATTTCTTAGCTATAGTTTATTTTATGGCTAAAGTAGGTCTCTTGCTTTCAAGAACCATCGCTTTTCCTTTAAAAAAGTTTCCCGAGCATGCCTAATAATATTTTTACGAACTAGGAGATCAGACTCGATTTTTTTTACCTTTACGTTACTTAGACCCTTCTCACTTCAGGTCATAAGTTTTAGTTAAATGTTTAAGATTTAATTTAATTTTACACTTATTTTAAAGCAAAACAGTAATATACCTACTTTCATTTTAAATATGCGTACTTAACACAACCAAATAGTATACTTAGTCACTCATATTTTTGTCCAAATTATAACAGACTTCTTTCATTGGTATTAGAATTAGTTCTCAATACCTATACACATCATACTTATACGAGGCGTGAACACAGACATAATGTAGCTGAACCGAGGAAAACTAACGAAATAGAAAGATAATGTCGCTTCAAATTATTACGTCCCATTTTCCATGTTCCAAGTTTAATGCGTTTCTGAACAACGACTGTTTTACAACACATTGTGTAGGTACTAGAGCCACAGACTATAGCAATACTTATGTGTAGCACTGTTACACTTAATCTTCATATTCATAACAAACTTGGATTTTAGTCCACGCTACTTAGGGTTCAATTTAATAACTAATGTTAAGAGCTATCTTTTAATTTTAATTGGTCAAAGTAGAAAATTGTCTCCAGCCTTTCTCTTTTTGTTGGTGTTGTACGAGGGGCTATATATGTATTTGTCAAAGATTTTCAGCAACTGCAGCGCAACCGTATCGTAACCATGATCCCGCAGGGTACAACTCTTTGTGTAACCTCAAATTGTAATTCCTGGTCTAGGTGTAACGTGTATGTAAATTGATATGTTTATAAAATATTCACGACACAGGAGCAGATTTAATGTGATGCAAACTTAAAAAAAAAACCTTTTAAACTTTTATATTATATATCTTAAAATTTGTACTCAATGGATATGATATAGATAAATAATAAAGTTTCTTGCTCGTTCTTCTCCACTAGAATTGGCTAGAATAGTGTAACAGATTGAGTTATTACAAAGGCACAACTTGGCGGCCTATTACTTTAATTAGAGTCTTGCAACTAATGGGGGGGGGGGATGCATTCGGAAGACGTTACCTCTAATTGGAATTTAAACTTTACCCTGGACTTGTACTGAACGTTTTCTTATACATTTATCTGGGTACACAATAGTCAGAGTTGCCGGAGCAATAATCGGAAGTATTTTAGCCTGTTTGAGTCTAACGCTCCTTGCAGTGGTGGAAGATATCTATCTATCTCTTTAAGACTTTTTTCTCTTAAAGACAAAGAGAAAGAGGAAGAGAAAGAGAAAGAGAAAGAGAAAGAGAAAGAGAAAGAGAAAGAGAAAGAGAAAGAGAAAGAGAAAGAGAAAGAGAAAGAGAAAGAGAAAGAGAAAGAGAAAGAGAAAGAGAAAGAGAAAGAGAAAGAGAAAGAGAAAGAGAAAGAGAAAGAGAAAGAGAAAGAGAAAGAGAAAGAGAAAGAGAAAGAGAAAGAGAAAGAGAAAGAGAAAGAGAAAGAGAAAGAGAAAGAGAAAGAGAAAGAGAAAGATACATGTAAATATACTGTATGTAAATATACTGTATGTAAATATGTACTGACGGAATCTGTTTGCCAGCCTCTGAATTTTGAAATCAACATGACAATCGAACTCCCGGGTCCTTTACTCGGTAATTTGCACTAATGACTACTTGACCAATGGAACAATCTCAGAAACATCCTTTGAAACCATCTTCAATCACACGCTTCCCTTAACAAGATGTAACAAAATTAACGCACGAAATTCAATATGCTGGCATTCTGTACAATTCAACTTGTTAAGGCCAAGCCACAACTGAGAACAGATTAATTAAACCGAATAGCGTTCATTAATCGATAGCTAAAGGGTTTGAACGCAAAGGTTAATCGTTATAGATTTTACGTTCATCCACTCTAGTTTGAACATCCCTTAGGAAGATATATGGTTTTGATTCGATTAGTTTACCATGGAGTTTCTTGCTAGTTCTTCTCCATTGGAATCTACTCTTTGGAACGAGCAAATAGCTTCACTAGAGGTCAGACCGACACATTGACACATAAAGTTATAGTTTTGATATTTATGTAATATGTTAGATGGAACCGGTGTAAAAACACACAATTTGATTGATCTAAAATAGAATGTTTATTGTTTATTAACAAATTATTATACAACTAAAACATTGAAATTAATTAATAGATATAAAATATTAACTTAAAGTAAATTTTAAACGACTAACATTTAAACATAGAAAAACTTACAAGCAAAGGGTTTAACTTCCAAAATTTTAATAGATCGACAGTATTATAAGTTTAGGTTATTCGATTTTTATATAATGAAATCTACTTCTTTTAAACAAACATTTCATTATTATTTTATGCATGATGGAAAAGTATTCGGCAAACAGAATTGTCTGTGTCATAGTCATCATCAAGGTAACGTTTATTACATAGAATAAAAGTCAAAAATCATTTATTTCCATTAGGCCACAGTGGGCACTTTTGAACGTCAAGCAAAAAAGAAAAAGAAAAATATACTAAGCGTACATTTATTTTTTGTTTAACGTTCGAAAGTACCTATACTGAACTATTTGAAATAAATGATTTGAATTTTGACTTTGACTTTAGTATTGTAGAAAGTTATATAGCACATCTATTTTCGTATCATGGCAGGCCGAGGTACATAGGAATAGAGGAATAGCCGTCGTTTGCTTAAATCATAGGTGAGAAACTATTCTGGTATGTTTGGTTGTACTCTAGTTAGGTATTGTCTGACCATTGCTGCCAAGAAATTCGGCTGGAATATCCATTCTGTTCTACATGTCACACGTGTAATTATTGATGGCACCAACCAAAAAAATATTCTATTAGTTATCATCAGCCTATCAGTGCACATTGAGAGCAAAAGGTCTCTTCTCATAAGAAAAAGATTTGAGCATCACCATAATCACCACGCTTACTCAATCAAGGCTTATTGGCCATTTCAAACTTATAATTCCGAAAAAGTCATATTGAAAGAAAGAAAAAAAAATATTTTTGTGCAAACGCACACACACAACACAAAAATTGAAAAAAAAGAAGTAAATAACTAAACTAATACTTTGTTACTTGCCAGGCATCTTCATGTATGAGAAGCGGGACCACCGCTATACTTTAGGTCCGGATTAATTAGAGTACCAAATCTGATTATATTGTGTTGAATTGAGGAACTCTTTAGTAGCACACCCTAAAATAATTCTTATGTTTCCTGTATTTGACAATATTTTACGCAAACTGTACGGCTACCTCAGACATTAATCGTTGAAACCTCAGCGAGCTGAAGTATTTATGTGAGTAGTCAATAGGTAATCGCTACAGTGGCATAGTATATCTGTCACGTGCCATACGAATGACCAGCACTCCCGACAAATAGAGCTGTCGGTCAAATAGCGTCGGTAAACCTTTCAACCGACATATCGGACTAAACGCGTTCGCTGTTAAAATTTATCTGAGTGCCGGATTTGAAAGGTAGATTAAATTTTTGACCGTCGATGTCAGCTACAGCTGGGAATTGTAACCCATAGCCATCCCTACAGTCACATTACTATTGCAAGCGTACGTTATTTTAAGTGCGTAATGGAATAAAAGTAAAAATGACACTCCATTGAATAGCGTATTGTATGCAAGCAGCTGTTGTTGACTTTACTGTGTGTCCACGGAAACAAAACTCCGTTATTTACTAATCCTCTTTTATATTCGCATTGTATTTATCTTTTGTTTTCAGTAAAAAGGAACGATTAAAAGGTAAAGAAATGAAAAAGTGACCTACTGCCATTGAGTGTGCAGGCCTGAGTAGTGAAGTAAAGTTCACACCTCTTCTAGGTGTAATCGGCGCAAGTTGCCAAGTCTAACACCGCTGTCGAGATAACAGGGTAGTATTGTGTGTGCTAGGTACAGTGGAGTACTATTAAATTTTAGCCGGACGGGGTGGGTGAACCGCAGTCGGCGGTTTGACGTATTATCGTCGCGCCACACCACTTAGTGCTTGCGCCCGGCGCCGGCCGACACGCGAGCCTGCCAGCGCCGCGCCCGCGCCTCCCGCGGTCGCGCTGCACACCCAAACTGAATAATATATCTAGCTCATCACGTACTCAACTCTAACCTTTCAACTTTAACGTTTACTACGTATTTGTATCGTCATTCTCGAAAGGGTCGTACTCCACACTATGTTATACTCAGTTAAAATATGTAAACCATAAAAGTGTTCGCCGCAATATATTTATTATTACCATTCCTAAGCGGAAAAGATAAACTAAGTCCTCACTATCCCAAAACGATCTCGAAAATATTCAAAGATGTAACTTTTTTGCGTAAACAAAAAGCGATGAAGTGCTGGCCGGTGCGGTCCGTACTTATATTTAGGGATTGCATGGAAACAATGTAAAGGTGTAGGTATATAAAGCTCCTGATACAGGCTCGGAATCTGGAGGATCCAGCGGACGCGCGTGCTGCTACAATATTCATGAGCGCGGCCGGCTATCGGGTGGCACAGCCCGCGAACACTATCTCACATTCGGACCCGTTCCATCAATATAACGAGTCGCTGACCTGAATTGTTTAGTGACCACCTTTATACATATTTTGTCCGCTAAAGTAGAAAATACGATTATTGCCAGCAAACCTCTTTCTACTTACATATGAGAAAATAATTCACAGCGTAAATAAATCGCTGGCTGTTCCGTTACTTAATCCGGTGAAGCAACTTATCTTGAGGTTTTATTAGGCAATTACGGGAGATTTTTCATGCATTCTAGTGACACCTACGTAGGATTTCATGTGCAAGTCGTATAAGTTTATTTAAAGCTGGCAACAAATTGATTTCACACGACCAGCGAGAGCCTCGAGAATAGGATATTTTATTTGTTATTACGAAATATATAAACTTAAAAGTTTATTGATGTTTCTTTAAGTACTTGAGTCATGGTAAGTGCCACTAAAGCGACTTGGATTATGTTTTTAGCGAGCAGTTTTAGTCTCACGTAATATTGTTGTTTTAATTGCAGATGCGGAGTTGGTGGTTGTTGGTTGTAAAACTTTGCCGACGAACACTGACAACAATGACAGTGGGATAGCACAGCTCTATTAACTTTGCTGCGAGCTGTTTGCAGCATATACGCAGTTTCTAATCTGTGTGGTGGAACTTGTTATGTATTTCGAGGTATTTAGAACAACTAAAACTAAAATTAAACAAATAGAATTTATGTTTGATGAACTAAGTACTATAAAACTTCGTCTTTTTACTGAATTCTCCATCGCACGGTAGGTGTTAATGCCCCTTTATATTTTACGCTCTATTCGAGATCTTTGGTGTATCCTGCACTGCAGAGCATGATAAAAATCTTCTAGATTAATTTTCCTCTCATAATGAAGAAGCTGCCTTTGAATTTTTAAAGTTTTCATTAAAGGTTTTTTTCACAGAAAATTACTTGAGGCAACTATTATAGCGGAAAAAATTAAAGTTGTAACGAAGTTGATTGTTCTTGAAATCTTTTTCTCTTGCAATAGCGACGAATTATGTAAAATGATTTTTACTCTGAACTTTACCGACTAAGTGGTTGAATATTACCTGCCTTAATAACTTTGCTATTTCTGTGGAACTCATTATGGCGTCATTATGAAAATTAAATTAGAAAAGTTGTCTAACTTATTAGTATTAACGTGTACCAGATTTGGCCAATAGTTGTTACGTTCTCATTGTGAACGAGGTTAGAAAAAAATGTAGGTAGGTATGTCAGAAATTTAATAGAACAATGTAATCGTTTTATATTCATTTATAACACGCGATCGTATTCGTGTATGCTGGTTATAAATAAAGTACTACTTAATTGTCGTCAACAATTGAATTAATCGCCTTTTGAGGATGTTAAAAAGGTAAAATTTATCGAGATTATTACGCTGATGTAGTGGCATTATTGGGCAAATAAGACCATTACGACAAATAAAAGTTATTACTTGGTAAAATGTACAATATGTATAACATAATAGCAGCTTACTCCAGCTTTACTCACGAGCTTTTTTCAGATCCAGATAATGCATTTAACTGCAAACAAAAAACGACGAATATGATCAAAAAAACTTCATTTAGCCTTACAAAACATCGGCTTGAAACAACCACAGCGATTCGCTGTGTAAGTGAGGTTCATCATCATCATCATCATCCTATATATCAGGCCTATAAGTGCCCACTGTGCTGAGCTAAGGCCTCTTCTCACACGGAGAAGGTTAGAGCATTTATCACCACGCTTGCTCAATGCGGGTTGGCGATCTCAAAGCTATAATAAGAAATTATAAGTCCAGATTTTCCTCACGATGTTTACCTTCACCGTATGTCAGTGATGTCTAAATAATCATAGGAAGTATATATAACTCTGAAAAAGTCACATTGGTACTTGCCAGGTTTCAAACCATTTCCTTAACCTCCGGGCCACCACGACGACGAACGACAACGAAGAGAGGTTACCGGAGGCCCAATCCTTCCATTCACTCTATCCCTCCCCAATCCTTAAATCTCCAAAACTGTAATACCCAAAACGCCCGCACTCGCAGCTCCTTAGGTATTGTGAGTGTCCATGGGCGGCACCGATTGCTTACCATCAGGTAATCCGTCAGCTCGCTTGCCGACCTATACCATTAAAAAAAACTTTGTAAATTGGGTCTTGAGTTTTGCGCTTACAAATATTTCGGTAATTATATACTAGTGTACCATTTCACTTACACATATTAGAGTTGTCTAAAGAATTGACACGCAGTTGGCTTCGGCCCCTCGTAAGCCTTTTAAATGACCGGGACCCTGTGGTCCTGGTATTGTTAAAAACATATAAAATAATAATTAATTTTTATTTATTAATTTCAGAGTAACTTGTTTTCCCTATCTTGATTTAGAACACAAAAAAGAACTTGGAGCAGAATATCATTTTATACGCTACATTTTAGGGCCTGGATGTACACATAAAAAAGTTAGGCATTTTTATTTTTATTTGTAACAAAGAGTCTGTATACCGATTTTAAAACCTTGAAAACTGCTAAAAGTCTCATATTAAGTTTCAGCTACATTGTCAAGGGGTTTTTTGTTTGTCATGAATAGCTCGCATACCAATTTTATGCTTTGTACCTGGAGAATCGCTGAATGTTCGATACGAACTTCAATCCCCCATTTTAGGTATTGGTGGGTATTAAAATTTAGGTGGTTTGAGTGTATGCATTCCAGGGAAAATATTTTAAAACGCTAAATTAAGCCATAGAAATTATTGGAAAATATTTGTCAGCACACGATCAACTAAAATTAAAGTTATGTCCATATTTAAGGAACCCATTTAAGTTAGAAATACAAGTTCCTGGACACGTTCGGACTCCTGCAATCTCTTAACAATTTCGTATGTAAAGCTGAGTGCATATAAGCGAGCACTGAAAGCGCCAACCCACAAATTTGAAAGTTGGCCAAGTTGTATCGACAGGGGGTGTTTGTGGTCGCAACCCGCTCCTCTCCGCTCCGCTCCTCTCAGTTGCACAACATTGTACTTAATTACTAATAGCCATAAAAATCAGAATCACGTAACGATATTGCTGTTTTACATTCAAGATTTTATACTTCTGTATTAACGCTGCAGTCGATTATGTTGTATAAACAATTTTCTAATAAAAAATGTAGTTACTCTGTTTGTCATTATGTTATATATACTTATATTAGGCAAACGAATTTACAGCTCTTCTCTTTCTACGAAGTTCCTTATCGCGTATTGCGAAAAGCAGTTAGTCAGAAAAAGTAAGACAAAAAGTTGTAACGGTACTTTTTGCTATCTATCCCCCCTCTCTCTTTCTCTCTCTCTCTCTCCCACTCTCTCTTTCTCTCTCTCTCTTTCTCTCTCTCTCACTAACAACTTCTTCCTCCGTTTCATCTCCTGTCCTAGGCCGAGGCCGCGGTGCCTCATTGCGCTTACCCCGCAACCCCGGCTGAACATCAGACCTATAGCGCCCCGTCTGTGGTGGTCTATTGGCTCTTTGAGGCACGCGCGATCCGAATATGCCATGATACGTTTTGGAACTCTTAAAAAGTTACCATTGTTATTAAGTGTAGAAGAGACACGAATGTGCCCACTCCATCGGTGTTATACCAAGATTTCACAAAAAATTGACGTGAAACCCCCACTGCTCTATTATTTGTTGTGTGATCCTTATTGGGAAGGAAAATTCTTCTTTCTCTTGTATTCCCAAAAACCCCAATCTTCAAATCCGAAACCCCCAACCGGCAACATATCAATAACTCCTCAATGTTGCGGTTTTACATGGGCGGTGCTGAAGGTTTACCATAATAGTCATGTCCACCTCCTATTTTGTCGACATATCCCATTAAAAAATCCGTAGTATAATTGTTACCAACGATGTAAAATAATAAAATGACATAGAAATAACGTGAATCCTCTAGAAATAAGGAAACAAATATCTTTTTCTACTCTTAAAATCATTCAGTCGATGGTCATTCCTGATTCCTATAACATTAAAACTTCCTTTTAACATAAGAATGTCACGTCCTACGAAATTTATGGGTAGTAAGTAGTTCAGAAGACTGAAAAAGAGTGTCGCATCAGCTTTTTGCGTTGTAGGGGAGGTGTTGCTTCTCGTAAAATACTGATATTCAGCTGAAACTAGTTCAACAATCCAATATCAAAAAAGGTTTGGAAATAGTTAAGTACATATTTTGTCTTTGCAAGTATTTGGGAATCAATCAAGATAAAGCCAAATAAATAAGTGTGGTGTCGTGGTGGCCCGGAGGTTAAGGCGCCCACTTCTCGAGCACGAGGCGGTGCAAATTCGAAATCTGACAAACAACAATGTGACTTTTTCCGAGTATTTTAAAATTTATTTATCATCATCGACATCTCTGGTTTACGGCGAAGGAAAACATCATGAGGAAACCTGGACTTACAATTGCTAATTATAAGTTTGATATCACCAATCTCCCTTGAGCAAGCGTGGTGATTAATGCTCAAACCTTATCCGTGTGTGAAGAGGTTTTTGCTTAACAGTGGGCACTTATGGGCCCATGATGTTTGTAATAGATAAAGCCTTTACACAGAACTTCTTTATTGGTAACCTTAGATACATTGTGAAGGATCCTTCCATGAAAATAAAATGTAATTTATCTGACTCCTTAACCATTTTCTTGACCTCAAAATGTAAAAGAGACGCCGCTAATGCTTTTCAAGTAAAGCTCATACGACATTTTCAATTTATTTTAATACGTTTTTATCCTTATTTAATAGAGTACTTTTAGAATTTGTTCAAAACAGATGGGTATAAACAATATAAGTTAACACATTACATAATTCGTAGAAATTCTTGACTTTGTTAGTCTCATAATGTCATTAACAATTTCTTAGGAATTGATCGTGTATCACGTAATACTGTTTAAGGACCATTTCTCAGTTTTTTCTTACATGACTGAAAACCACTAATGCCATTAGTAAACAACCAGTGTGACACAGTTTTCGTTCTCACGATAACACATTTACTCAACATTGTTTTCCAAACAAGTGCCACTACAAAGTTGTTATTCCCTCATCAATACACATTACAGTTAACTTGAACTACATAAAAATCTGTGTTTAAAAAACACACACTAAACATTCAATAGCGACATTATCAAAACAACAGACGATCACCAAAAAGATTGGCAACAATAGGTAAATTCTTGTAAAAAAAGCCAAGTCCATTCAGCAATAGCAGCAACAAAGCGTTTCTAATTTAGGTTTGTACATTAAAATCGGTGCAAAGAGACAAAAAAGTTGAACACGGAATGTGTTGCAACCTGAGCAAAATTTAGTTGTTGGCGTCTGCGCTCAAGCAAGCGAAGCGGCTCCGAACAGGGCCTGGGTAATTGAACTAATAAATCTAGCTGTGTAACTGCGAGCTCCCGACTCGTTCAGGATCAAGGCGAAACCATTAAACCTACGCTCAGATTCTGCCTTAACTTCGCTTGCATGTACTCGCAGGATATACATGCATCTCTATTGATAGAATTCCTTCTTACAATAAAACAATTTTAACATCCGGAAGAATAAAAATTGGAAAAATATTGGCGCGAATCGCAACGACGTAGTAGCAAATAGAACCTTATCAACTGTGTACGATTATGGAGTGAGCTACATGTTGTTTAGTTCGATTGTTTTCATGAACAAGGCGTTGCGTGGTCAGTTGATAAGTGTTGTTATCGTTTGCATATTGAAGTCTATTATTGCTGACCAAACAACACAGGTACTAGTCTGAGTTCATTTATAAATAATACCTACTTTATTTTTAAACAAAAATATAAATTTAAATTAATTCCTACAGAGCCCAAGTGACAATGCTGAGAAGTTCGATGGTGAATTCAATAATTTTCTAAAGGATTTGGGGACATTTATATATAAAGGTAAAGATTCATCAGATGCTACTAAACGAGTCGAGCACATTCGTTACACGACGGTTCCTGTCAAGAATTACAGGAAAAGTCAAGTTAGTATTACGTTTTCTTTGTCTTGCATTGTAGCAGATTTTATTTTTACAAGCTTACATCCAATTATGTAGCTTTCTTTAATGTATCGTTTATGTTACTAATTTCCATCGTATCTCATTCGGTAACTAAACCTAATGTTTTTTAACTGTTCAAGTTTATATATTATATAATTTACTCATCTGCTATTTTGACTGCATGCTTGTTGCGGTCGGGCACGCTGCGGTAAGACCCCTCTTTGAGGAATGGCTTGAGAGACGCCACGGCGTCCTCACCTTCCGCCTGACGCAGATGCTTACCGGGCACGGCAGCTTCGGTAGGTTCCTGTTTCGGATCCAGCGGGAGGAAACGCCCGAGTGTCGTCATTGTAAGGACCACCTAGAGAATACGGTGGTGGAAGTGATCGGCGGCGGCGACCTCTCGCGCCCGGCCCTAATTGAGGCCATGGTTCATAGCGAGAGGAACTGGGTAGCTATCGCCTCCTTCTGCGAAGCAGTTATGCTCGCAAAGGAGGAGGCGGAGCGCGCGAGGGAACTATCCTCCTCGCGCCCCAGCCACCGCAGAAGGCGACATTCCGGGCGTTGGGGATCGAGAGATGATCTCCGGCCACCTTAATCGCGGGTCTGCGGCGAGTAAGGGTAAGGGAAGGACCATAACCAGACCCGAGCGTACGGCGCATAGCGTTCTGCGTGCGCCTCAAAGAGCCAATAGACCACCAAAGACGGGGCCCCATAGGGCTGATGTTCAGCCGGGGTTGCGGGATAAGCGCAATGAGGCACCGCGACCTCGGCCTACAGCAGGAGAAGGAACAGGGGGGTTTTTAGTCAGTAAGAGTCTGACACTCCCTCTCCTGTCCAGTCTGACTCCGGGTCTGGGTGTGATAAGTATGTGAAATTGTATGTTTGTAAACGCACCCACGACACAGGTATTATCATTGATCCGTTTGCTGGTTTCCCACCCTATGCCATGAAAAGAAATTTACAATTTTTATCTTACTGGTTCACGAAGGTAATGTTTTTCATAGTGCCATATTTTTTATTACAGAATGTTCTCAGCGCGCAAAAGTCATTCCTTGGAGATGTGCTTATGTTGAAACTTGTGTCTTATTAAGAAGACAAATATAAACTGACACATCTAATTCCAACCACCACTGAAAGTATTACAATGTTGAAAAGATATTCAAACTCGGTTCGTTTTGCGAACAGAATAGATAGATATAGATACAGTCAAGCCGATAGGAAAGAGGTACAAAACAGCAAACCACAAAATCGGGCGACTGATGTCATGGCTAGAAGAATGCAACGTCAAAAAGAAATGGTAAGTTATTTTACAACCTACTAAGAAGAAACTATGTTACTCTTAAGTTTGGACGGTGTGCCATCAACTTCAACATCATCATAATATGATATGGTGATAGTGGAAGCTCATTACTATAGTTTTCTAACTCATAGTCGTTTAGAAAACGTCCCTTATTAAATATGGATCTTCACTATCCCCACTCATAACCATCTTCATCGCGATAGTACCTCCCTGATCGCAATGTGTTTGGTTTTCTTAGTAGATATTTGTAGTATATAAAAATAATATTCGGCATTCGCGCAGGTATTGCTCATCTATTGTGTCTCAAATTGGCACGATAGAAAGGTTAAAACCTATTAAAATGAAGAAATAAGAAGACTTAATTTTTTCAGTTTCGAGTTGACTTAGTTTTTCGCATGTCATGGTATGTCCATATAGAAAATTAAAAACAGAAGACAACCATAATTTAGATCAATCTGCTTTTTCTGTAAGTCTTTGTAGGTTTCTTAGAATAAATATATTGTACAGTATTTTACTACTAGAATCGCCTTCTTAAAACTTTAGAAATGAGAGAAACTTACGACACCGGCTTATATTCTGTGCTAGTTCTTTACTTACGACTTCTAAAGAAAGCAGTTTTTTTAGTTATAAAGCCGACTTCCAGTCTCTTTGTCTCGGAGTAATCACAAAGTACAAGCATTAGATGAGCAAGAGATTTATGCTTTGATTCCCAGACTGGACAGTGTTGTTGTGATATATTGGTTTGATATTACTTTTAAATCTCAAATAATGTTATTATTATTTTTCGACAAGTGTCCCTAACAGGTACAGTCATTTAAAGAAATATACAACCCGGTTATTGTAAAAAAACTATTTACTTTTTCAGGAGGAAGACGAAATACCCGAAGTCTTAACCTTATAACAGAAAAACGACGCCATTACTTTTTGGTTGTATTCAAAAAAAAGGAGGTTTTAATCGAAGTGACTTTTTAAAAACAGAATGTGTAACAATTTATATGAAATTATTATAAAATAAAGAATAATCAAAAAAGATACGGTTGGAAGAGCTCATTCCTAGTCCATTTCAGCTTATTTTTGCAAATTTGCCCGGAGATTGGTCCTCATTGGCACTTGTTCAACGGCGTGAAGCTAAAGGTGCTCTGGGGAACAACTGTGTCTGCACTAAATGTCATCTATCAGCGGCGTATGCCGGATTTTAGCAAAGACACCGTGTCCAACGCAGCTCCCGGGACCAGCGTTACGGATGATAACTATTAAAATTCAACAGCGCTTCAATTTTAACGTAAGACTGTTCGGGGAGTTCGACTCGACGCGTTTCCGTACATACATATCTTTGCTTATAGACTTGCTTATAGAGGGTTCTGTATGTTTTTTGTTTTCAATTATTTAAATTAACAATAATATGTTAACGCTAAACTTTGCAAATTTCAAAACATTCGTATATATAACTGTTTACCTTATTTTGTAATCAAGTGTAGTAATTTACATATTATTATAAAACTGGAACTCGAGAAATCGTCACGTAGGTATCAAATGTTTGTTTTAAACTTTTAATCGTAATGGTTGCAAAGTGTAATTATCTCAATCCTTACAAAAATTAACAACATGTGACAGTTTTAATTAAATCCGGCCGCTTGTGTTCCCAACATCGTCACGCAGAACATTACATCTACAACTTTGTCCACAAATTATGTTTACACCATTCAAATAGACGTTCCTTGCGTAAATACTTTTGTAACTAAGTCCATTAAAGAAACTCTACACAAGTAATTACCATAACACAAAGTGGTTTGTTTAATGTTCCCCTGATGAGGAACTGCATGGAAATATGTATCAATTCGCGGCGAGAGAATAAAATACTTTAATTTATTATCCCATCCTTCTCATCATTATGACTGTTTATGCCGAGTTTTTGTCAGTAATAACCTTTATTTTAGGCCTGTTATAAACTGTGCGTGAGTACCATAAACCTTAGGAGTCGCGTGTTTGACCGAGAGGCCATCGTAAAATGCATCATAAACTCGCGCACATAAATTTAGAAAATCGAAGTGACTCGGAAAATGAATAGAAATTGTGCGCTGAGCACGACGTATAACATACATAAAACAAAATAGGAATGCGGAAAATCTAAATACAAGAACAAAATATTCCAAGTTCATAAAATAGTAATTTGAAAAATAAACATGTCCTTCCTTCCTCGAAGAATAAGAAGTCTCATAATAATCATCCAGTACAGCTTTGGCAGTGTGCCGGCATTTCAATAAAGTTAAATCTCGGTGGGCAACAGGCCCGACGCAGAAAATAAGGCGAGGAGCTTGTTATGACGCGCTCCGCCAGAACAATACCCGAAACACGTTCATCGTATGGGAAAGTAATAAGGGCCACCCAATCTGCCGTCCGCTGTAGGAAATTTCAAATTAGATGTTTATGTGCTGGTGAGAAATTTGTTTTAAAATAAAAGTCCATCGGTTTTAACCTTTTCAAAGAAAAATGGACATAACACGGCATATCAGCAGCCCCTCCCTACACCAGTCGCGTACACTTTGTTCCAATCGCATTTCCCTTTGGAACGATCTCACGGCGGAAATTAATCCATCCGGCAAATGAATAGACTGCACTTGTGCGTGAGGGGTGGCCTACGTATGACTGATGTTTTTAACTTTAAACTGCAAATACATTTGAATGGACCACCGCCCTTATATTGAATTTCAATACTCGATCCTTTAAAGCTTTTTATTGTATAGTTTCCTAAGTTGAACAATGTCGTTGTTGTAACTTTCCCGTTTATTACGGGCAATAATCATATGTTTTATTCCTATTATTACATCATAATCAAATTTCGACTGTTCCAATGTGACACGCAAGTTCGCATGATGTGTACAATCCGTCTGTCTGCGTAATTTTATATTCCTGTTTAGTAAAATTAAAGTAGGTAACCGTACGAAATTCTCATGCGTAACAAAAATCAGGGCCGTACGTACAAGCGTGTAACGTGGAAGTTTTTAAATTAAATTCCTTGCTTACCAGGTTGTTGTGATGCGCAACACGTCTGCTCTTGTTGTATCAAGGCAACAGCTCTGTGAACCTTTGACACTTCCAATCACTGCTAATACTACAAAATGAGTTACAACTGTACCTATTAATCGGATTGCTTTTTAATTTCCGAATATATCTGGCTTTCTCCGACTGCTTGGTAAAATAGATTTGGCAAAATGGTTGAAATGCAAGTGTGGAGTAAGGGGAACTTGCGATATTTGTCCGCTGCATTAGTGGAATTAGCAATCTCATATCCGTGGAGCTAATATTTCTGGAGTTCGCACAGCGTCGGAGAATTAATCAGTTTGCGCTGGCCACTGGCCACACGAACAATTTCTCTTTACTAATACACTTTTTGTATTACCATTAACTTTATAAGCAATATTTTTTATAGCTGAAGTACTTTGCTTTATAATCTTTTAGTATTCGAAGTAATTTTTATTGTCGTTATAGTTTAATAGCTAAAGTGCTGCAAAACTAACTTTAACTTTTATGTCTATTTTAGTTCAATGGATAATTTAGTCGTGTTTATATGGAATTGTATGTATAATGTAATGTATATAGGGCACGGTTAACGAAGACTCATTGGATTACACGGGTGTCAGTTGATTCGAGACGCGTAATTAGGTCACCTTGAAACGTGGACTTGCTTCCATATTTCATTTTTACTCCGAGAAAAATTTTACTGTCCCCAACTTTAACGCAGAATGAGATTAAAAAATCTTATTATATTTATATCTTCCATTTACTGCCTGAGAAAATAACTTCTTTTTCCAAATTAAAAAAAAAAATGTCTCAGAAAAATGTGAAAATAATACTTAAAATCTCTGAATAATGCCGTCTACAGAGGAAAGCATTAAGGAAAACAAATAAACTATTAACATTCAATGCAGGTACCTACAGTAAGCGCATACACATTATGGTCACATAGCTCATGCAATATTGATATTTATATCCGGTTGGCTAAGGACTACATAAGCATAACAGATTTATTGAGCATAAAACTAATTTCCTACACGCAAAGTTTATAAAACAAAAGGCGGTAAGGAAGGTACCTAAGTGAAAACTTGGTAACTGTTTTATGTCGTTCGTATCAATTATTGACGTGGAGTAGGAAACATGTGTGCTTGTACTGGAAAACGCTGTTAGGTTAATGCGCACTTAGTTAACTATATAACTAGCCGTTATAGGGTCATTGAAAAAAAAACTTAAATATCATGGAAATAAAGCCTAAAAAAATCGTCATTCAGCAATTTTCCGCACTAAAGTTTTGCTGTAACTGGCCGAAACGATGCAACTAGAGGTGCCAACAACATCGGGACCGGTAATAGTTTAACTTTTGCGAACGTGTGTTCAGTTATTAAAACGTTATAGATTTCCATCCAACTTTGAAATATTTTTCTGTTTTGATTCGGTGCCAATCCCAATCAGCTCTGGCTTTTTTCAACGTATGCAGATAATTTACGGAAGAGAACGCATTATAGAGATTAGGTGCGTTATTGCGTCCTAGTTTTATCTTTAACGATGCAATTAGATCCGAACGTGCTGGAACGCTATACGGGGTGATACGCAATCATATACGCAATTAAATACCACTGAGAAGGCTTGTTTGCCCCTGATGAGAATGAGAAAGGCGAGCGTTTAATATTAGACACTGAAAGCTGTTCGTGTATTAAATATTATATATTTCAAAGTCAAAGTAATACTGAAAACATCAATTTGAAAAGCGAGCAAATTTAGTCTAAAGAGATGACATTATATTAACAGAAAAGGATTACGGTAAGATTATCTGAATATAAACAGACTAATGAGTCGCTATAAAACGGCAACCGATTTCGCACCGTCGACGTTCGTAATGCTGAATAATCCCTAATGAAAACACAGCTTAACAGAGTTATTGATTCATAACGCAAACGAAGCTCGGCGCGATCCGATATTCAGATGTGATACACATCGCATGCTAAATCATGAACTCATTTGTTCCCATTCAGTTAACGAACAATACAAAATGATGTCCTGTCGTGTCGTACGCCCGACGGATTCACTCAGCTTACTGGGATTCAACTCAATCTATTGTCCCAGCTCACTATCGAACTAAATCTAGCTAAACTCTGGCTATTTTGACAACTCGATCAATTGTTGTTTTAGAACTTTGCGATATTTACTTATGGATTCAGGATTTGTTGTAGAGGTCAGGTGGCAATATTTTGATCGGATTTATGTTTAAAGAATACATTGTTCTATATTTAATAAAAAAAATGTATTCTACCAGTATTATGCACGCGAAAGTTTGTAAATATGGAAGATTTATTTTCATTTCATGGATTTTAATGAAAACTGGCACAGAGATAGATTGTAGCCTGGTCTGACACATAAGATACTTTTTGTTCCGGATTATGTATTATGCTTGTATCAGCTAGTTGTCCATGTTAGAAAACCAAATCAATTAGGAAAGAACTCGTTTTAACCATATAATTTGTAACTAGGAATTAAACCTTTTTAGTTTTAAGGGGGAAGAAGATGCAATAACGCTTCCTGTTCTATGTGGGGCGAGAGTGTCAGACTCTTACTGACTAACAATAATACAGTACCTTCTCCTGCTTCGAGCCAGGCCGGGGAACATAAATTAATTTATATAATTAAATGCAAATAAGTACAAGCAACACATGGAAACAACCCTATCAACACATATTAGTATAAAAAGAGCCTATTGATGTGGAATTACCAAAGTACTCAATACTCAAAGGAGCGAAGTACAATCACAAATTTTCACCAAACACAAAGTTCTTTTTAAAGAAAGAATAAAGAAACAATCCATTAATTAGAACGAAAGAACTCGCCAATCACTTGACAAATGGCAATTGTAATCGGTAACTTGAAGCGAGCCAATCGGATTCAATTCGTCATTTCGACGAAATCTTTAATTCTGTAAAGTCCGGCTATAATCCCCAAGTTCCCAATTATTTCTGTTGAGGGCTGTAATTAAGCAGTATAAAGTGCTCGGCTGCCGTAATCCAACCACTTTTGTGATATTTAAACGAGTTTCATTACGCTTCGGTTATAAAAGCGCGCTATTACGAGAAAATGTGGTGGAAACATCTCGCTCAAGTTCCAATGACCGGGTATTGTCGAGTCCGGAAATAAATATGACCTGTGTGACGTTTGTTCGATTTCAAAGACGTATGGTCATGCTCGTACCGCCTTGTTAAACGTTTTGTGTTTCGTGTTCTTTTATTGAATATGTGGCTTGTTGCTCTTTATATATTTGCTCGCATTGTTTGTTTTATAGGTAAACTTGCCTAATTCGTACCTGCGCCTAAATCGTACCTCGTCTATATCTTGGCATGGGTAATAGTTACCAACGCCTCTGATGGCATAAAATGTCAATAATAGTCGGCCAGATTGTCATATGACAAATAAACTCCTGTTACATTGCTCCCGACAAAAATATTGAACGGGTAAGATTTTTCTCACTCTTTTTCACTTTTTGAGTAATTTTTTTGCATACTTCACAAGAACTGTCTTCCAAGTATACCGTTCATAAGTTGTTTAACTGTTTATTATATATTTATACGTATATTTGTGAATATATTTCACATGGTAAAGCCGACTTGTTCGTTGACAGTTTTTTTTGCGGCTAATTTGAAATTCATTTGATACTTGTGCCTAATTCGTACTCACAGCAACTTCTTAAAACGTACGTACTTACGATTTAGGAAAACAATGTTTAATATCACAGTAAATATTATTTACTTACTTGATTATTTTTTAGTTTGTGTTTTTATTTTATAAAACTAAAAAATAACATTATTTTATGCAGTAATTGTGAAGTATGGGTACATGAGCTATGTGCAAGACGAATTAAAAAAAACTAAACTTTATTACTGCGATGACTTTCAAGATTTGGAAAAGACCATCCGCTGTATTAATAAGAATTAGGTAATCTAGGTACATTAAGATAAAAAAGAGTAGAAGATTATTAAGATTGTGATTTTTAAGACTGTAAAACAATGATAGGATCTCAAAGTACGATTTAAGAATATACTGGTACGATTTAAGATCAATGGTCTTAAATCGTACTTTTTTTAGGTTTTTGAAAATTGTTTATTTCTCAGAAGTTTATAAGATTTATGTTATATTTTATCGGAATACTAATAGAACATTAGTTTAATTATAACTACTTAATATAAATAACTGTGTATCATTGTTCATTTTCAAAATTTTCGAGGTTCTCCTTAAGTGGTACGAATTAGGCAAGTTTACCCTACTTATTTTATGAATAAAAATAAATAAAATAAAATAAATATAATATTTGAATTTTCTTATGGAGTTCGTAAAAGAAAATATGCGACTTCTGATGATATCGTTTAAAAACATAGAAAAGGATTTTCTTTTTATAATATTTATTTTCATTATTTATAGCAGTGCAGTACAAATAATATTACATCTCTCTTACAAATATATAGAGAACTTGATTGCTATACTTTGATCATCTGTCATGGTGTGTACCTTATATTAATAATAGGAACGTTAAGTGCATCTCGTGGCGCGGTCCGTGTGGTCTCATTCCGGCATTAGCTCCGACAATAAACATAAATATTTTTGCGTCGTTATGGCTCGGCCGCTAGCGAGTAATTAAATTCCATTGAATCGCACAAATCTTCGCCCTACGTCCGCGCCCAACTTCCCTGCACGCTAAAATACATACGCAGCCTAAAAAAAGTTTGTTTTCCTGCTAACCCGCGGTCTACCAAAGAAAAAACTAGGATTAATAGTACAGATTCCAACCATCAACCACCGCAAATAAACAACGAAAATGAACAAAAAGTCTGCACGAATCTAGCGTCAAATATAAAAATGCAAAGTTATTTTACCTTTTTCAGGTACTCGCACAGAGTACCTGAAAATAATAATACTTATGAAATTTAATCACCCTCAACAAGCATCTTGCCTCCCCACACGTTTTCTTTTTTAAAAGTTGCCGTCCCCGGCTCGTTAGCGGGGTCTTCCTTATTATTTCCTCCACGACTGTAATCTGGCCTTTCAGCTACTTCAAACGACTTGTTCTTTTTCTTATGTGTAATTGA